AGATGTGTTGGTTACTCCTCGTTCCCTTCTCCTGGACTCTTTATTCAAAAGGCTGTCTGTCACGAGATCCATCTTCAATTTTTCATCAGGAGCCGAGTTGCTTAATGTCACCACTAGAGTATCCCAGCTTTCTGGCAGCGAGCTCAACAACAGTAAAGCCTGCATCTCCTTATCAATTTTCATCCTGGCTTTAGACAGCTGATTCACAATACCTCTGTAGGTGTTGAGGTGTTCAATCATGCTCATGTAGTCCTCGTATTCGAGTTTCACAAGTCGGCGAACCAGATGTGCTTTGTTCCTAGGAGTCTTATTCTGAATCGTGGACTCCAGCTTCGTCCACAACTCGTACACATTCATGAACTCGGACACATGCTCAAAGAGGCTTTTGTGAATATATTTCCTTATCGTGACTATTGCCTTCTGACTCAGGATCTCTCACTCCTTATTAGTTTTGCCTTCAGGCTTCTCTTTAAAGATGATGGGCTCATATAAATCTTTTCAGTAGAGATAATCTTCCATCATCTGTGTAACACCTCGTGTATACCCGGTTTGTTAACATGCCATCGTATTAAGCCACGCTTAATTAAAAATGCGAAATATCTTTTTCTTTTCAATTATGGCGTCATTATCATTACCAAGTTGAATTACTTAATTCATTACCAAAACATTGACTGTATGTAAATTCCAAATAGACATCTAACTGGAATACCTCAATATATAAGTTAACAGTGAGTATCTAAATATCACGGGACTACAACACGTAGCCCGGACAATATCCTGATACATTATTACAACTCGCATCTAAACTAAGACAAAGTCAAACAATGTGGCATGGACAATCCACATGCTCTCCAAATAAGGCAACAAAGCCCAACATAGTCTCAACAACAGCGACAATAATCATAACAAGCTAATAACATAAAGCAACAGGCATAATCCAGCATTTAGACATATCATCATATAAACAGCAATACCAGCTAAGCTCCGGCCTCCTGCCGCTAGAGGTCTCAACCCCCGCATTACCTAAACCTGAAATGAGCGCCCCAAACGTGGGGTGAGATCTCTAAACAGAAATTTCAGTAAGACAAGGGTTCCTCAAGAATCTTCCACCCCAAGCTCACTTACATGTGCAATATAAGTTCTAAAAGCAGTAATTCAATATCAGTTCCAAAACCAGTGCAATGCAGCAGATAATCATGTCATGTGTGTTATAACTATTCTACTGATCAGAGAAGTACAGGAATACGTCTATTACCCACACAGTACATGCCCATGCTTTACCCGCCCACAGGACCACCCCATGGCCTCCTGTCTAGGCGAAACACCATATACATATTATAAGCAATTGCACTTAACAACTCCATAGCATTTCAAATAAGCAGTACATGAAAACACATCATGATATAACCATTCCCCCATAGGACATGGTGGAACAAACAATGGCTAAACCGAGGACACGAAAGCTTACCTTGCAAGCTAACTATCCAAACCAAGAGTCCACACAAGCTCAAAGTCCACACACAGTAGAATCACAATCTGTTTTGGACCAGCAATCATATCAATATTCAAACACAACAAGCATATGACATAAAGACAACGCATTTCCTTTAGGTTTCATGTCTTTAGGCTTCTTACAAAGCCACAAGCCCTAATTCACTTAGATTCTGACTTAACAAGTCATTACAGAAGTCCAACTTCATCAATCTAGGGTCCACAAACCCATAACTCAGTTTTGTATCAACAGTACCGTTACTGTTCACGCAAACTCAGAATATCCGGATATATGTCGGGGTCATATCCGGATATCACAGAGCCCATATCCGGATATCAATATCCGAATATTTCGTGACATAATGCAGTTTCTGCATTTCGTGAGATATCACTTCCAAGGTTCCATTTTTAACACTTCTAAACGTTAAAGCATGCATTTTTACTCTCTTTTAAGTCCATAAAATGATTGGTTACATGTTTAACCCATTAACATACCAAGACTCAACCTTTAAACAACTAAAACTCAAGATCAAAGGTGGTGAAGCTTACCCAAGCTCAAAACAGAGATGCAATGGCTCTTGGAGCTCACCAAACAGCTCCTCAAGCTCTGACTTCTCAAAGGTACGAAAATGGCACACCAAAGGTTGGTTCTTTGCACACAAAGATGGCTCTCACAACACTACAACAAGTCAGCACCTAGACTCTTGAAAAACAGAACCTCCACTCATAAGAGAGGCCTCCCACTCATTCCCTATGCTCCCTCTCACTCACACAAGGTATCTTGGTGAAGAGAAATGGAAAAAAGGTGGTTTCTTTGGAGGAGGAAGCTATGGAGAATGGTAGAGAAGGGGGCTACACTCACAAGCTCAGAATTTCCTACGTAGAAGGCACAAAATCTAACCTAAAAGTGTGTGTCATGCCCTTATATAGCCTCATTAAATTTTAAACACCCTGTATTAGCACCAATAGCTACGCTTAGCAATTTAATCTCAAACTAAGGATTCTGAACCTACTCATTTTTCTAAGATTTTCCATATTTTTATTTTATTTTTCGCAGCACCTTTCTGGTACGCGCTTTTCCATAGCCAGTATCACTTCTGGCACCAGTTCTCATTATTTTAACTTGAAACTTGAAATCACAGTCCTATATATTATTCTAAGAATATTCATGCACTTATTATAATTTTCCAAGATACTTCATCGGTACGCATTTGTACCGAGGAGCAAAACTGGTATCTGCATTTTTCATTAGAAAAGCGACTTTCAGTCTTATTAATCACTTACCATAATTATTTAAGCTCTCTCATAATTATACGAGTCAATTATGGAATTATTTCGTAATTTCATACAATTAATTAATTTCCTTAATTAACGATGCGGGTTCTTACAATCTGTCTCCAGTGAGTGAAGTTGTCCACAGTCATTTTGAACATATCTCCATCATGTGAGATTCCACTAGTCTCCATCTCGTCTTCCTCAAATCCCTAGAACCCGGGCTTTGATACCATTGTTGGGAACTCGATTCTCTCAATCTCGGCTAAGAAGCTTTTGCAGAAAAACAGAGAGAAGAGAGAGAGAAGAACACAGGTAGATTTTAACGTGAAAAAACCTTCTCCAGTGTGAAGAAGTAAAAAACTTACAAGATACTAGTCTATAATCAAACTTCCACTATGAAAATAATTGGTTACGAAAGATCAAGCATCACCAAAAATGGTGGTACACTCAAGCCTTACCTACAATAGTGGTTTTCTCTCAAACTTTCCTAAGGAACTATAACACTCAAGCTTTTCCCTAAAGGTGCTCTTAAAATTAAAGCTTTGAGCTTTTCACTCAAATCCCTCAAATCTCACAGTCAATCTTTTTTTTCTTCTTCTAACCTATCTCCATCCCGCAACTAATATATTTATAGGATAAGGAAGAAGGTTTAGGGTTTTTCAAACCCATCAATGGGCTTTGGACTTAGCACTAAGGAGGAAGCCCAACACTTCCAACTCTCTTTGTATAATAAATTTGGTGCTTAAAATGTAGTTTGAGTGATGCAAAAAAATGCATACTTTCTTAAGGTCCAAATAATGTCACCGTTTTATGGGCATTCTTTCGTTTTACAAAGCCATTAGAATGATCCTAAGAATGCACTAAAAGTATAACTTGGATAAGATTTACAAAAATACTTTGTATTCTGTTTTACTACAGAAGTGCAAATAGTCTTTTTCATTCCTAGGATGCCTTGAGAAGAAAACAGAATATATTGAGTCTCTTGGTGGAAGATTCTATATGGTTCAAGCATTCCACAAGAGACATTGTTAAATTGTGGAAAATGCAGTTAGATTCAATATGCATGTTTTCTTTTTCACTTTACAATGGAGATTAATAACTGTCTTTTATATGATTCTGTTCCTACAAGGATATTTTGAAAAGGATTATTTCAATCTTCCAGCTGGTAATGTAAACATTCTTGTTAAACCACGTTTGGTTAATGGAATCCACAAAAGAAAGTTTTTGTTACCTTTATTGCATGTACATTATTCAGTGTGCCACTAACCATTTTTGGTGTGTGAGTAACCATTATCCATGGTAGCAAATTTTATGGCAACTATGCTATGAATAGATTAAGGGTAGTGTTAGAAGTTTGTTTGTTTGTTTCTTTTCTTTTTCTTTTTTTTTTTAAATGGCACAGGTAATAGTGTACATACAACTTGGTGATAACTGTTACTTGCAATTTATTTGTAGTGGTTGTAATTGTTTGCCTTTTGATGCTTCTAACTGATTCATCAAAAATAATAAAAATAATAATCATATAGTGACTTATCTTCAAAGTGAAGTTGTTCTAGGAGTTTCTCTATGTATCTTTGTCTTTTATCTCAAACAGAAATGACAAAGGGGTTATGAAATCTAAGATCTAGAGCAACCCATCTATTCAATTTCTAGATCTCGAATATACACAACATATAGAAAAACAATCATACAATTTCATGGTTTGCAAGTTTATCTAAAAATTCTCTATTCCTTATATTACGGTTTCACAGTTAGTCGAATTTCAATATTTTGTTTGGATTATACAATTGAAAATTGAGAATGTGAAGAATGAATATTTAGCAACGTACTAAGCTGGAGTGGAAGGAAAAAGGGATTTTTGAATAAAGCATTGTTATAACCTTCACACAACTAACATGTGGTATGCAAAAGCCACTAAGATTGGTTTATTGGTGGATGATTTGGGTATGATTTATTAGGTTACGTGTTCAATTCTTACTTGTATATAAAAAAAAAAGTGGTGTGCAATTATTCTATGAAGTGTGATGAGTGGAATTGAAATGGAAATTTCAGCCTTTAGACTATAATAATGTGACAAAAGGAAGTATTTTCTCGCATTAATTCCAAATCAAAATATTTTGTTAAAATAATATAGTGAAATACGCATGAAGTATGTGTGTTTAAGTTGAGTGATGTGTGATTTGTGCAAAAGTAAGTGCACTTATACCACATATCACACGCTACGAGAGTACGTGATGCCTGTGGAGGTATGCGTGTTCAAGTCGCGTACGAGAGTATACATGACTTGCAATGCATGATATATGGAAAGCACACACTCATTTCTACACAAGTCAACACCATCCCATATGTCACACACCACCTCATATGTGATTTGAATATGCATGTCTCATGTCTAATTATATTATTTCGGAAAAATATTTAAAATTTAAAATAATAAAATATTTCATTTCTCACTAATTCGGTGAATATGCCAGAATTTTCCATAAGAACTCAACTTTGATATGAAATGTAAAAATCATGAAATGGCCCAGTTTGACATATAGTACCTTACACAAAATTATACTTTGCGTTGGAGATAAATTGTCAATATTAAGCTATTAAGATTGGTTTAGTATTGAGGAATTTTGATAATTTGTATTATGTTATATGTTCAATTTTCATATCCAAATTTTTTTTTGTCAATATTGCATTGTGTTGAACTATTAACATCATACTCTCTTAATTGTTATAAAATAATAAATGACCGTAACATGTGGGTAGCTATATGCTTGTAGTGTATAGAAACATCATTTTGCCTTTGCAGGATTTGTTTATAATTTATACTAATTTAATCGGAACGTTATATTTATAAATTTTTTATTCATAAATTTTTTAGGTTACAATATATTTTATCGATAAATACTCTTAAATAAAATATTCTATAATTTATAAATTTATAAAAAAAAAAAATTATCAATATAACCATCCTTTATTTTTATAATATAAGCTTCAGTTTGACGTTGAAACATCTATTTGTATTTATTTTTGCAGCATAAAGGTGCTTCGAAGTCTACGTCACCGCCCTATTCCTGCACCAAGTTGCACGTAGATGAGCAAGCCTACAATACTCCTGGTATACTTTTACTAGAAGGGAAAATTTTTTGAGATATAGAATGAATTATAAAAAAAAATTGTATTAAAGTGAATTTTTTTCCTTTTTTAAATAAAAAGGATTATCGAACTCGAGATTTGATACTCCCATTGTATTCAAAAAATTCTTCTTATATAGAAAATAATTTAAAGTAACGTGGGATTACCATAATTCTTCCATTCATAGGATGTCACGTGGGAGAAAATTTTTTTTGTATTTTTTCTCTCCTCTTTGGTAAGTCCTCTCTCCTACGCACCATCGATTGAAAAGTGCTCCGACAGCATTAAAAGATTTCTCCACGTATAGACCCGTTGCCACACGCCATCCCCTTCGTAGCTCAAATGTCTGGCTTCACATTATGCCACATGCCTTCGACCTTGTCTTTTTCAAAGTCACACAACCCACCAACCCTTACATAGTTATTCTCAAATTGCCAATAAATGACCAAATTCTGAGCAAGATACTATTAATTGATTAACCATAGGATCATAACGATGACAAATTAAATAAACACGTGAAAATAGATTGTTATTTAACATAATGATATTAAATAAACGTTAAATCACACACAAGATGCATTCCCTAAATATGTTAATATTCCCAATTGCAATAAGTGATCAAGACTTGTTGATTAATGGCACACAAAAAACTCCACCCACTTGACTTGGTCATCGTTGTCGTCAACTCTTCCATCATTTTCCCCGTGGTAATCTTCCATCCTGCCAAGCACGTTAGAATCTAATTTTGCCTTGTACACACCTTCCATTCTATCTTAAACATTATTCCAAATAATAATAGAGAAAAATATATGTAATTTTAAATGATATAAAATTTTGTTATTTTAAACGAGAAAAAAATAGATCATGTGAAGAGAAATAGTGGACAAAATAAAAATATGAACCCATCTTTTGGTAGAAGTAAAATAACATAAATTATATAAATTTAATAATAATACCTATTTAAGAACATATACTTAAAAGAACCAAATAGACATCTCTTGAGCTCAAGTTAGCAATAGCTATGACTCTAATTACTCTGTTTCTCTTCTTCTTCTTCTTATTCTCTACATCAAGTAAGCTACTTCCCCTTTTGGGTTTCATTGATTTTCAAATTTCAATATTCATTCATTCCTCTAACCCCTTTTACAGGTGCAAAACTCTCAGGAACACCAGGAATCAACTATGGCCAATTGGGGAACAACCTTCCATCACCAACAACCTCAGTTTCTCTCATCAAGTCCCTTAAAGCCAAAAGCGTCAAAATCTACGACACAAACCCAAAAATCCTCAAAGCTCTAAAGAACACAGGCCTCAAAGTTTCCATCATGGTCCCAAATCAACTCGTCTCAAACATATCCACAAACCAAACACTCGCAAACCAATGGGTCAAATCCAACGTTGTACCCTTTTACCCACAAACACTGATTCGTTACCTCCTCGTAGGTAACGAACTCATCAGCAGCACAGGGAACGAAACCTGGTCCCACATCGTGCCCGCGATGAGAAGAATCAAACACTCTTTAACATCCTTCGGTTTGCACAAGATCAAGGTTGGAACTTCTTGTGCCATGGACGTGTTGCAATCGTCGTTTCCACCCTCAAACGGCACTTTCAGAAACGACATTGCGTTTCGGGTAATGAAGCCCATGTTGGAGTTTTTGCATAAGACTAACTCGTTTTTCTTCTTGGATGTGTACCCGTTTTTTTCTTGGGCCTCGGATCCGGTTAATATTAACCTAAGTTACTCTCTTTTTGAATCCGAGAATATCACGGTTACGGATCCGGGTACGGGTTTGGTTTATAAAAATTTATTTGATCAGATGGTGGATGCTGTTTATTTTGCAATGAAGCGACTCGGGTATAAGCGAATTCGGATCTTCATTGCGGAAACGGGTTGGCCCAATGGAGGAGATCTGGATCAGGCTGGAGCGAATATTCACAACGCTGCAACTTACAATAGAAACTTTGTTAAGAAGGTTACAAAAAAACCGCCGGTCGGGACTCCGGCTCGACCGGGTTCGGTTCTTCCATCGTTTATTTTTGCGCTGTTTAATGAGAACCTGAAACCGGGTGCGGGCACGGAGCGTCATTTCGGGTTATTGTACCCGAACGGGTCGAGCGTGTACGAGATTGATCTCTCCGGAAAAACGCCAGAGTCGGAGTTCGCGCCGTTGCCGCCGCCGGTGGATTACAAAGGGAAGGCGTGGTGTGTGGTGGCGGAGGGAGCGAATGTGACAGCGGTGGTGGCGGCGTTATCGTACGCTTGCTCGCAGGGGAACCGAACCTGTGACCCTATTCGACCCGGAAAACCGTGCTTTGAACCCAATTCGGTGGTGGGTCATGCTAGCTATGCTTTCAGTTCTTACTGGGCGCAGATGAGGCATGTGGGTGGAACGTGTTACTTCAACGGCCTCGCAACCCAAACTGCAAAGAATCCAAGTAAGTGTGTTTTTTTATATGTTATATAAAAAAAAAATGTTTCTCATTTTAAACGAGATAACTCTCCTTTTACGAGATAGACAGATACAGAAAAAAAAATTATTTAAATTTTAAATTAAAAAAAAACACTCACTTTCTCTCTCTCTCCTATGATTTTCATTTTTCTGTGTCTATCTGTCTTCTAAAATGACATAACTTATATCATTTAAAATGACAAACACCAAACCCATAAAAAAAATTCATATTATAGTTTTTTTAATTATTACGAAAAAATTACTTGTTAATGGGCATTTCAATTAAAATTAATTTTTTTTATATAATTTTTATTATATGATTTTCTCTCATTTAACGGTATTAAAAATAAATAGATAAAATAAGCATAAAAAAAGATAAACATAATATCCTACACATTTTTTCAATGAAATACATGTTTTCTTTTTATATTTAGTTTAAGGAAAAAATGTTTATCTTTTTAAATGACACAACTTATATTCTTTCACTCTCACAAAGAGGTGAGACTCACACTTTTTTTAACTCTCTCTCCTCCTTTATCTATCTTTTTCTCTCTCTTAAAATACCACAACTTTACATCTTTAAAATAACACACATTTTTTCCTTAGTTTAATTTATTATATGGTAATAGAGGAAAGTTTTATTATTGGGTTTTATTAATCTAATGTTAAAGAAGATAAATTTGTGGGCTCCACCACCTGAAAAATAAAAAGAAAAGAAAAGAAAAAAATGACACAGTTATCGAAGGGTGTATAGGAGAAAAATATATCACATGTAACATAAGAGTAATTTTTCCTTTATTATTACTTGAAGGTTTTCTTTTGTTTAAAACTATTTACTTTAAGGAAGGTAAAGTGAAATAATTTATGGAAAAAATATTTGTCTTTTAAATAATAGTTATTTTAATTAAAATGATTATTTTTTACTTAATATTTAAATTAAAAATGTTTCTTATTTTCTTTCATCTTGATTTTTATTGTGTAATTGTTTTTCTTATAATAAATTACTATAATTTTGACTAAAATATTATAATTTTTTTTAGTAATATCAAAGGTATCAACAGTCATAACTGAAGACTAATTCTCACTCGAGCACTATCAGACTAAGATGCACCGACACAGACACAGGAGATGACACGACATGACACCCTGACACGTTAATTCTAATAAATGTTAAATTTCGACATGGACGCGTTTTGATATTAAATAATATTTTTAATATATAATATAATTTACATTTAATACATATAGCAACTCATAATAACTTATATACTAATCAAATATTCAAATTTCATAACATAATTATTAAAAAAAATAGAACATCCCAAAAGTGTAGAGTGTAGAAAAATAAAAAAATTATTTTACTTATGATTACACACAATTCAATTATATATATATATATATATATATATATATATATATTCTTTAAGAAAAACCTTTGATAACAAATTAATTAAAATAAAAAAATAAGATAAGGGAAACCTTTGATTACAAATTAATTAAAACCAAGGAGGGCATTTTCGTCCTTTGCACCTTCCTCTCAGTCGCGAGATTCGAATCTTGCCAGAGATTTACTAGAGCTTCAGCAGCAGCTTCTGAAACTTCCTTGGGAGCCGTTAAGAGTATGGGTAACGCAGGAAGCACAGAGTTTGCGTAATTGGAGAGAGACTTCAAGCCCTCCACGGAACCAGTTAATCCGCGAACTATATATCAACAGCAGCCTTTGCAATCGGTGGCGATGGACAAGACAGAAAGCTCACAAGTTCTTCCAGCTCCGTTGCCATTGTTATCTTCCTTGCACGTCCTCATCTTTCTCGGTAAACTAGTGTAAAGAACCTTGAGATACATCTTTTGTGCACTTTTTGATTTATACTCTTTCGCGGAAGCCGAAAACCTTGTGCAATGAGAATGAAATTTCAAAAGAGGGCATGAAAGATTCTCTTGCTATTGTGCCAACCTTCAATAATCCCCAGATATCTACCGGTAAACATGCAAATGATGGAACATCTTATTCTCTGGAGAAAAAAATTGTTGCAAAAGTTGATGTTGCTGCACCTCAAGATTCAATGTCAAACGGCACTAGCTCCATAACGTCACTTATTCCACTGAACAACGTTAACCATCAGGTTGGATCCTCTGCAACTAGTTCAGTGTGTGACAAAGCAGGTGGTATAGTGTGTGAAAATGCTGTTGGTTCTCAAGGACTGGTTCTTCATGACTCAGTAAATGGATCTTTGAATATGGAGAGTCTTAATCATAAGTGCATGTAAAAATCAAAAAAGAAGTTTTTGAAGTATCAGGTGTCAAGCATGCATGCCCCCCGCTCAACGTTCCTTTTCTTGGCATACTTAAGCCCTAGAAAGAAGAGAAATCACAAAAGAAGTAAACGTCGCACGTCCGGTTTGAAGAATCCAATTAAAGGAAAGTTGGATAAACATGATTTCTCATCTGATGTTGGGCCATCTACAGCTGGAAAAGTTGATGAATTTCCCTGTGTGTCAACTTGGATTTCTCGGTAGCAATTTCTTGGAAAAGATTTGGTCCACTAAAGCTGTGCTTGGAGCCCCTTATCTTCTTCCTCTTCCTCTTCCCCTTATCATATTCTTCATCCCATTCATCTCCTACATATCCAATGCTGACAATCTGGTCATTCTTTGACTCTAAGGACTGAGATGAATGTAATTCTATATCATCCCAAACTCATTAAACTATTATGCATTTGATCTCTTTTACCATCTTGCAGACTATCAGCTTGTCTAGCTTCAAATTGGTCTACTACTGAACCACACCCAGATATATTTTCTAGTTGCATGGCTGTTGCAAGAATGGCACAGTTTTCATTGATTCTCTTCCTAAATTCTTCAGCAGTATTTTCTACCGGAGATTCATTATTAGATTTAAAATTAGCACCAGCTTTATAACCAGCCTTGGTTTCCCTACTCTCGAAACAACTTGACACACAGGGAAATTCATCAACTTTTCCAGCTGTAGATGGCCCAACATCAGATGAGAAATCATGTTTATCCAACTTTCCTTTAATTGGATTCTTCAAACTGGACGTGCGACGTTTACTTCTTTTGTGATTCCTCTTCTTTCTAGGGCTTAAGTATGCCAAGAAAAGGAACGTTGAGCGGGCATACATGCTCGATACCTGATACTTCAAAAACTTCTTTTTTGATTTTTACAACCAGCGTTCGAACTCGACTTTCTGTATCTTCCAGAGTTTTTAATTTTTATTAAATATTTTTTTTAATTGTAATTTTATTTTTATTTTTACACAAAAAAATATCAAAACGTGTCCACGTCGTTGATCGCATGTCGGATTCGGTCAAATTCGCGTGTTCCAATAGTCAATGTGTCCCAAAAAGTTGACTGCGTGTCGGAACGTGTCGGTGTCCGACACGCAAATTTTCCCAAAATTCACGTGTCTGTGTCTCAGAGCTATCAGACCCTTTCTGGGGCGGCTCTCTCAAATCTTTTTTTTATCATTCTCACTACTCGAACTCAAGACCTTTGGTTAAGGGAGTTTGGTAAATATTATAATTTTAAATCATTTAGAAAGACAAACATTAATCCTATAATTTATTAGGGAAAAATGTTTATCATTTTGAATGACATAAAGTTATGTCATTCTAAGAAAGAGATAGACACAAGAAAATATTTTTTTATTTAAAATTTAAATTAAAAAAAACCATCCACTTTCTCTCCCATGATTTTTATTTCTTGTGTCTATCTTTCTCTTAAATTGACATAATATGTCATTTAAAATGACAAATATCAAACTCAAATTTATTATTGCAGTTACGTTTTTTTGCTTTGTGGACCGTTATTTAGTACGAAAGCAAATTTACAAAGATTCTCACCAAGTTACGTAACACATGGTTATAATGCCATTTTGAAGGGTTTTTTTTTTTTTTTCTTCAATAAAACATTTAAAAGGTAAAAGAAAAGCTACAATCATGCAGGGATTAAGAATTGGTGATAAATTCATTTTGTACAATACATTATTCATCATTTCTCTTTTGTTTTTATGTTCAGCCCTTTGTTTATTTGTTTTGTTTGAAGGTTATGGATCGTGCAAGTTCCCGAGTGTGACTCTTTGATGCAGCCAATACCAATCAAATTACTCCACCTTCTGATATTCGTTCTCAAGTCACTACATCAGGAATTTCCAATTTGGAATTTGGAATCCTTTTTATGAACATTAATTTATTTTTGCTTTTCTTTTCATGAACGTATGTTCCTCCAATATATAACACGAATAATTGGGCTTGTCACTCCCGACCCACCAAGGAGGAACTTATGTTGATGAATACCCTTAATAAGTTGACCCCATCCATGTGGTCATGGAAATTGGCAAGGAAGCCATTTCTATCGTATTTTGCCTGTAACATAATGCTTTTGTATACTCAACTGAAATTAGACACATATTATTCACATTTGTATGAGTATTTATTTTTTATCTAATTCAGTTCGACTATTGTCAGATTTATATTTTGATTTTATCCGATTTAGTTTCATGTATGATATATATATATATATATATATATATATATATATATATATATATTGGTGGAAAAATTTACATATATAATTGTGCAGAGAGTGGCAATCAACTTGTGTATTTTGGTAAGATTATCAGTATGTCTATAAAATATGTAAAATAGAATTTGTGTAGAATTAGAATTGTGAAAAGAAATTTAGATAATTATAACTCAAAAAGTGTGAAAATTAGATTTGCATATATATATATATATATATATATATATATATATATATATATATATATATATATGATAAGTTTTTATAAAACAGATAACGTATACTAAATTATGAAGTCAACTAAAGTATATAAAAATAACATAATTTTGTCTAATCAATAAAATATTAATATGCCCAAACATTTTTTTTTCTTTGTGCTTGTTTGGATACTCTCTCTTTTTAGTTAGAAGCTACAAGGTAAAGCTAAAAAAAAAAAGTTAAAAATTATTCAGTAATTACATAAAAAATTTAGTTTAAAAATTACTTAAAAGCACATATTTCAAGAAAATTATCTTTCTCTCTATTTTTATAGCTCTTCATTTAAAAAAAAAAACACAATTCAATAAAGTCAGATAAGAGCTTAAAAAAAAGCTCCTCCTGGGAGCTTTTAGCTTTTTTCTTCATTATAAAAAAAGAGTTTTTCATTATAAGAACTTTTCTTAAAACTTGTTTAGCCTGATATACGCCAAATTATAAGTTTGGTTTGACTTGTTTTTAAAAAATACAATGTTTGGCTTGGCCTATCAAGTCTACAAAGCCTTTAAAATGACATATTACACTATGTAAAATATAGGTTATGATTATTTTTTCCTTTGTATGAAAAGTTAAAATAGTATAATAGTTGAAGCCACGCCACAATCTAAAATATTATTTTATTAAAAAAATAATAAAATACTATTTATTAAAAAATACATGTCGGGCCTAAAGACTTAGAGGTCAGACCTTTTAAAATAGGCTTGTAGCCTGATTTCTAAAAAGACCTTTAAATTAGCTCAATCTTGTACTATTTTTAAAACGAGTCAAGCCAAGTTAAACCAGGCTATAGACTCTAAACAAGCCACATGTCCCATTTACACCACTAGCTGTAACACTATTGAAGTCTTTTTCAATGTTCATTTGTTATCTTCTAAACTCTTGCATCTGTATATATATTCTTTATTTTGAGTGCATTAATTCCACATGATTTAGACTAAAAAATCATTATATTTGCACATTAATACACGATTGATTTAAATGTGAGTCCAAGTTTACCATTGAGACTATCTAACAACAAAATAGTAACAAGAAACCCCTCACTTTCTTCTCAGTTAAGAAAAGCAATACGAAATTCGAGTTCAAAACCTCTAGTCATTTACAAGTTTAAATATATCAATATCAAGCCATGATAATATAAAATCAAGGAGTTTGTTATGTGGGCCAAGAGGAGCCCATGGCAAGGAGAACACCATCACTAGACTTGAGCGATATAATTTATTAGAACAAGTGAGTCTGATATCATATTTTAACCCAAAATCTTAAGGCTTTGAGTTTATTGGTCCTTCCAATTATATAGTCTTCACTTAGTCCATTCTTAGCCAATGTAGGACTTCACTGCTCACATTTGAATTTCCAATATTCTTTCCCTCAAGTGTGAATTCCAAGTCTAACACTTGACTCTGCAACATGGGTTTAACCACTATCTCTATGTTATGTGGCAAAAGGGACCCCATGTACAAGAAGATCATCATGAATTTTCTAAGTGACAATCCACCTCCTAGCCAATTACTTGGTTAACCCAAGTTAAATCTGTCTCTAATACTAGAGTTGGGTGGGCCGATCGAAGCCCATTGTAGGGGAGAATTATCAATGATAAGTTAAACTATACCAACCACAATAAGTTATCATGACATTACATCTCAACTCAAAATATTTAAGTGTTGGGTTTAATAGATCATTTTACTTATATGGTCATTACTTAATCAATCATCAACCGATACAGGCTTTCGCCCTCCATCGTACTTGAAATTCAAGAGAGTTTAAGTTGAGTTCTTGCCCCTACCTTTTGATAGCTTCTCCAAGCAAGGACAAAGAATTGGCTTGATGCAAAATCTACAAAGTCCTCCTTTCTCCTCGTATTATCTTCTTCGCTCTCTATATTTCCTTTTCTTTCTAAAACAGGAGTGGACTCCGGGTGGTGTAAACAGTAAGTAGGTTTAGTTTTAATCCTTAGATACTAAGGGGAGGTAGGAAACTTAGGTCGGTATGTCTAAGCATTGCTTTCTTAATTTTTAACTAATAACAACTTAGTTTGGTGGGACAAGCGACAATATCCTAGGCTAATCTTGTATACAACAATATTTATTTTTTCATAAAATTTAAGGGTATCATTACCTACTCTTAATAAATTAATTAACTATTTAATTTGTCCTACTTAGATTTAAATCTTCACAATCTCTTAATTAAGATGATTAAAATCAACTCGACTCTTTAATTTTTTTATCTTTAATTATCTCCACATTTTCCCTATGTTTTACTTTTGAGTTTTCAACGTATTTATTATACGTAAATTTTTGTCTTTAATATATAAAGTCATAAAAATAATTTCAAACTATGGTTAATAACTTAACATTATATAATTTTCATAAAAAATTTAGAATTACAAATTTTAGAAAAATATATACATATTTTAAATAGTGATATACAAAGTCATTACTTATATTTTAAATAAGGGAAAACTTCATTATCACATGTAACATCATCTATAACTGGCATATATAGGATATCACATTACTTCTTAAATATTATTTTAATTGAAAGAATAATAATTATAAAATAATAAAGAATACAAGATTTTAAAGCAGCATATATAAAATAAATATTTTTAAAATTTAATTATACATTAAACAATAAGTTAAATTCACTAGTACATTTGAAATAGACTAGATTACATCGTCATCTAAACTGAAAGAAAACAATTTTACTCTATCTGGTAGAAAACTATAGTCACTTCACGGGTACACAAAATCACTCTGAACTCCATACAGTTCTCAAAGTCTTGAATATTACATCACCCGTTATGATTTCATATTGTATAACTTAACTTCAATAATTTTAAACTTATCACTCATATCCATCGTGGTTAAATAAGTTTACCATTAATCCCAATGTGATTTTGAACTTTCACTTACACTTATAATTGTTACAAAAATACATCACTTAGACTCCTTGTAGTCTTATAAATATAATATTAGCAAGAATAACTGCAAGTGTGGGAGGTACTTAGGATCATATTATATTCTCCATATAGATTTGATTGCTTTATTGATTTGTGTATAATTATAATTAAATCATAACGCTTGAAATTTACATGATATAAAGATTTTTGTAGCACTTTTTACTAAAAGATATTGCGAGTTCTATAATTTTATTCAATTTATAATTTAAGCACATGAGTGTTCCATTCTAAGTTGAATCCGATATTTATACAATTTTTTTTTTTTTTTTTTTTGTAATTGCGTTATCCTATTTTATCTTTAATTGACTTAGCAATTATTTTGATCTTAAAAAATATATAAACATCAATTATATCTTGGGAAAAGTTTAAAAACTCTCCTATGGTTTCTCTTAGAATCACTTACCCTCTTATGGTTATTTTTTTTATCATTTATCTCCTATGATTTTTTCTATCCGATTGATCTTTTAACATTGTTAAAAATTAAATTAGATTGTCCATTTTGTCCCTATAAAAAGAATTTACTACCTGACAATTTATTACTATGTTCCTATTTACCTTTTACAACTTCTTGAGATGAAATAGTGTAATGCTTTTTTTTTAATCCAACTTCACATGTAATTATCCAAATAATCAAACATATATTAAATATTTAAACCCTTAACTTCATTAGAATGTAGAATTTAACTCAAATTAAACTCTTTATTTTGACTTCATCAGCTTCTCATTTATTTGATTTTTTTTTAGATTCTCATGTTTTCTTCGTAGCCAATTCATTTCTTATCTGTGCAAATTTGCTTATAGCTTTGAGCGTAATATTGTTGAGTATTGTATATCAATAGACCAATCTACTCTTTATTATATTAGTATTTTTCCCACATTTTTATTTTCTTTGTTTTCTAACATTTTTAATTTAATTTTTGAACCCAGAATAAAAATATATTTACATGCAAATTGATTACTTAAATAATATTTAATTTTGTTTACTATATTTAAGATATTAATATATTTATCAAACTCAAGTCAAGTGTGTTTCATTAAAGATATATAAATTTGTAAGAAGAAAAATAATAGTTCTAAGCGTTCATTTTTGTTAACAATGTTGTGAATATTATCTTATTGGAAGATCGAAATTAATTGTTAATTTACAACTTTCAATGTAATTTTTCTCGCAGCATCGTTGGGACGATGAAACTTGTTTTACAATTTGGTATGAATTTTAGAAAGAAAGAAAAATCAAAGTTGGATAAAAAAAATTACTTTGCAGTATAAATTTCTTATCTCTGCAGTAATTCTTTTTACAAGAGTAAAATAGATATATTAATTTAATTTTTAACAAAGTTAAAAGGTAGACTGAAAAGAAAATCATAAGAAGTAAATGATAAAAAAAATAATCATAAAATGATAAGTGATTCTAACAAAAATCATAAGAGAGTTTTTTAATCTTTTAAATATTTCCAATACCAAATACATTAAAAGTATCTTAGATGACGTTGTATGACGGACTAAATTGACGTTACTTTAAATCGATCTAGACTCTTTTGATTCACTTTAATTTTTGAAGGATTTATTTAAAAAATATATTTATCCTTTTAAATAACATAATTTGTATCATTTTACTCTAATAAAGATACGTGACTCACAGCTTTTTTTATCCAATCTCTCTTCTATGATTTATCTTCTTTTCTCATTTAAAATAACATAACTTTATATCCTTTAAAATATCAGAGATTCTTCCCTTCGTTTAATGTTACAAATGTTTAAAACAGATTGGCTAAAGCATAAGCCACTCTAATTCAAATTTGACTCTTATTTTGGTCTAGTTATGAATGTCTGTATCTCTAATCTTGTCTTGTTAGAGTAAACCTGCCAAAAGTATAATATAAATAAATTTAGAATAAAATATTTCTTTGAATTTTCAACAAAAGTTATAAGATTCGATTTAATTCCTTAAAAAAAATAAACTTATAATTTCTTTAAAATTTAAAATAGATCTACTTAGTTAAAATTATGATCTTTTTGAAATCTAAAAAAAGACCCATGTTAATTCGCTCAAAAAATTAATATAAAATTTATTTTGAATTTTAAAGAAATCACAAATTAATTTTTTTTCCCTGAAGGATTACATTGGACTCGCAATATTTATTGAGGATCTAAAAAATACTTTACTCATAAATTTAATTTAATTTCAGTACACTTTTTAATTCATTCTTAATATAAAATAAAAAATAAAACCCAAATCACAATTAACATGGATGAAAGGTTCAACCAACTGTGACAAGCAGCATTATCAACCTAATCATTAATCTATATTAAACAAGTTAGTGTGATATATAGAATGTTTATAATTGTCTATATCACTTAATTTTACATAAGTAGTTGGAATCACACAACACTTATATAACATTTTTTTAATGCAAATAATTAGTTGATTGAATGATTATCTTGGTACCATTACAACTGTCCCACTAGAAAACGCACTTATCACTTATCAATCAGCGCACACAGAAACCAAAATTGTGACGTTTCCTATCCTCAAAAGTCTCAAAACCCTATCCATTTGCATTCAAAAGATATTTCTAGTTCACTGTACTGTACTGTACTTATTTATCATCCTATCTCCTATCCCAACTTGTTATTCTCTCACACACCATTACACAACACAACTCAACACATCAAACCAACCACTCTCTCTCTCTCTCTCTCTCTCTCTCAAACCTTGTTGCTTCCACTTCAACACTCTTTGTTTATTTCATGGAAAATTGTGTCTACCACAGAATCCTCACTCTCCCTTCTCAACTCTCATCATCATCATCATCGTCATCCCATAAACCCCACTTCAGATTTTTCACAAGGCCTCTTAGTTGTGCTTCTTCTTCTTTGTACCTTAGGCGCAGACCCATCAGGGTCAAAGCAAGTGCTGAAGCTAGCCACTGCGAGTTTAGCAGCTTGAATTCTCCACTGGAACCACGGTCCTTGGTGGGAAAGTTCCTCGGTGGTGTTCTGCAAAATCACCCTCAGTTGTTCCACGTTGCTGTTGGGGAAGAGTTGAAGCTCTTGGCTGATGATCGAGATGCGGCACATGCTCGCATGGTGATTGGTTCTGCCTCTGATGAGGCCTTGCTTCACAGGTTTGTGGCTAAATTGAGATACCCTTTTGTTTCTTTTCTTTTTTACCATGTTTTTGTTATGTTTTATGAGGCATGGTTATGGTTTAAGTGTCATGTGTTATGTGTTATTTGTGATGGGAGAACTTTAAAACCCAAAATTAAACAAACTGCATATGCATGTTTATGTATTTACTTGCTATACAATTTGTACCTTCATGAAGTATATGACTTCAATAAGGAATATTTTTTGATTCTATATATATCAACTTTGCTTCTCTTCATTTGGGGCTTTGTTGGTAGATGTAGATGTGTGTTAAGCAAGTCTTATTTTTCTGATTTACAATATGGGTAGCATTAACTTTTGTTATGTTTTGCTGACCTCATACCATGGAGAACAAGGCAGAGGCTAGATTTTCATCCATTTATTTATTTATTTATTTTGTACCTTACAGTGGAATTTAGAGAAGGAGAACAAACCATATTATGATCCTTAATAGGCTTGGTTTGGATTGTTTGTGATTATCTTCCCATGTTTTGTTTTTGATAGAAGAAGAAATTTTTACTAGGGTGTGAGGAGAGAAATTATAACTGAAGAAAAGGTAAGTAAGATATCTTCCACAACAGAGAAAACAGGATACAACAGTGAGCAATGATAGAATCAAGAGGGCAGCATATTTGAGATGGCAACTCCTTTGAAAGATTCATGAGCAGAACACCGAAGAAAACTCCAAAAATGACTACCTTATCCCATAGCAAATTTAGGGGGCTAAGCAACACACTTGAGGATGCAAGCATTTCACTCCAAATCTCCAATCTTTTAGGCCATAGCATAAACTGCAGATGGTGAAGTTTTTTTGGCTTCCATGATCTTACCAAAAGCCTTTATAGCTGAACATGTAAATCTGTCCAAAGTAAAAAGAAGCAGCTAGTACTTATCAAGAACTCCTAAAAATTGTTCTATGAGAAAGTAAATGGCTTAAAATAAGTGTCCTACTGCTGCTGAGAAAGCACGGTACATAACACTCATCAGGGAATGCGAGGCCTGTGAACTGGCCTCAAGTCATTTATGTTAATCCTATTAAGATTTTATTAATGAATGGATCTGATCCAGATAAGGAGTTTATGTTTCTCTGAAAATTCTGACAGAATTCACTGATTTAGAGATATGTATGATAATATTCCCCACATTTATTGAATCAGATGCTGTGTTTATGGCTTATTCATGATAGTACACCAAAGATTTCAACAAGCTCCAGATTGAATTCTTGTAACTTGTAAGAATAACGAGTTGGTATTTTTCCCTCCAAGTGAAGTATATTTATCACATAGCAAGCTTTCATGAATGGCTTTTATGTAACCACACAACATTAGTTTTTGAAAGTTTATCACACAATGAGGGTTTAATAAACATGTTATTTTGGTCAGTATTTTCTAAGCACATTTTAAAAAATTTAAAGAGCTTGTCAATAATATCTTGATACTGATCTTGTTCATTTCCCTCATTATTTTCTTAATAATATATAAAGCCCTCAATGGTTTGAAACTTTGGACATCATTCACTCTATCATAAACTATGGCACATACACCATTTTAAATACTTTTTGGTCTATTTGTAGTGATAAAAGAATTTGGCTTTTCTTTTAGGCTTTTTTTTCCCGTTATGATTGTCTCCAAATCCCAGAAGTCTGACCAGCATTCTATCTAATTACTAATCTATGAGAATAGGTTTGCACCAAGGGTTGACTTTGAGTCCATACATATTTAGCTTGGTATTGGACATTCTTAAAATGGAACATCCAATCCAAGAGCTGGTGCCTGGATGCATTCCTTTTGCAAATGATATACTCATAGTTGATGAATCAAGAAAAAAGACTAAATTCTAAACTTGATTATGGTGAGAAGCTTTGATACCAAGGATTTTTCGATTAAGTAGGAGTAAGACAAAGCCTATGGAATGTGAGTTCAGTAAGATGCGAGTTAGCAATGTTTTGGAGGTGGAAATTGGGGAGTGAGTTGCATCATACCACAAGTTGCATGGTTTTGATATCTTGCTTGGCATTCCTGGCCTCAAGCTAACCAAACTTTCTCTAATTTTTTTGATTGAGTTTTTTTGCAGTCCCTAACATTTAATGAAAAATTAAATGGGTCCAAAAGTTAGTGGTCTTATCACCTGCCATGTGAAGCTTTGTTGGCTGAGAAATTAATGGTTACATGATTTTAAGTTGGTGATTTTAGAATCGTCTGCTCTGGATCATACCTTGAAACTTAGACAACAAAATTTCTTACTGGGAGGATAGCATAACTAACAGTAAATTTTTGGCCTTATTGTTAAGCAACTTGTAAACTAGCTGGGCATCAAGTCTTTAACTTTTGCTTCCTTTTGAATATTGGCATTTCCTTTGTCCACTTTGATCTGATTTTTCCAGTAATCTCTTTTCCGTTGTTTTAATTGGAGTTAAATATTTATAGACTTTAAAGATCTTAAGCAATTTCTACAAGATTATATGAATTGGAGTACTACCCGGCATTGATGTCAAACTCTTGAATGAAATAAACAGAACAGTTAAACCCATGTCTTAAATTCATTGGTTGTTGCATAACACAACTGTAGAAATTCATTGAAATAATGTTAATTTAAAACTTTTCTGAATGCCAGGAGGATTGCTCAACTAAAAGAGAATCAATGTCAAGTTGCTGTAGAAGATGTTATGTATTTGCTGATTTTTTACAAGTTTTCTGAGATAAGGGTCCCTTTGGTTCCAAAGCTTTCTAGTTGCCTTTACAATGGCAGGCTAGAGATATTGCCTTCTAAGGACTGGGAACTAGAATCTATTTACACCTTGGAAGTTTTGGATATGATAAGGGAACACATAACTACTGTTACTGGCTTGAGAGCAAATTCTGGTGTAACAGAGAGTTGGGCAACAACCAAAGTTAGACACTTTTTACTTGCTCAAGTTTATGTTGCTTCCATATTATATGGTTACTTTCTGAAGTCAGTTGCATTAAGGTACCACCTAGAACGAAATCTATCTGTGGCTGACCATGATCTTCATCTTGGTCATAGGACTAACCTCTCATTTAATGATATGTGTCCTTATGGACTAAAAGACGCGATGTTTTGCGACTCGAGTAACATGCAATCCATAGGGCAAGGGTTAATCAGGAAGGAAGAGGAAATTGAAGACTTAAAATGTTATGTTATGAGCTTTCACCCTGGTTCATTGCAGAGATGTGCAAGATTGAGATCTAAGGAGGCTGTGAATTTGGTTGGGAGTTATAGTTGTGCACTTTTTAACAATGATGAATCTGGTTCGGTTGAGAATGATGATGTTATTTTGACTTCATTTTCTAGCCTGAAGAGACTGGTCTTGGAAGCTGTTGCTTTTGGATCTTTCCTCTGGGAGACTGAAGATTACATTGACAACTTATATAAGCTTAAGGGTGATTAAGACATCTAGTTTTACCCCTGTATTTTAAAGAAGAGGTTGTTTTTCAGACTTGGAACCCGTAGTTTTCTGATCACATGGCACAACCTTATTGCTCCTTAAAGACCTGTCCTCTAGTGTAAAGGCACAGGGTGCCAAAAAATTATGAGGTTGTTGGGCGAATTCTCCTTGTATATATAATGAGTTTTGTTTTTAGCTCAAAGTGTTGGGTTATGTTTATATTGTATAGTACACATTCACCCTGTATAATGTATAGTTGTAATGTTTGAGCTTTCTGTAAGTTGATAGAGATTCTAAATAGTGATAAAGTTGTTTATATCGTGATAAATATTCTTTTGAATATTTTCCTGCTTTTTCTATGACGATTATGATGTCATTAGAGAAAAGAATTTTGTACTTCATCATTTTGCTCAGAATTGGAACTGAGTTCAAAGACTCGACATGGATGTAATAAGAAAATTTCAAAACTAGAGCAGAATATGTATTTGTAGTTTTACATTTAATGCAGCCAGGTCTCATATAATGGAAGTAGACGTTATTTCTTTCATGGCACCAAGTCCGGCTGCATATGATAATCGGCAGGACATCTTCTTTTGGCATGATTGTTGGACAAATTTGGAGAGGCCCTTAAGGTAGTGTTTGGTTGGGGAGAAATTTTATAATACTAGGGATCTGCAGGGAAAGTAAGTTAGATAGGAAAGTTTTAAAAAAGTTTGTTTGGTTGGGCAAAATTTTACCAGAAAAATTAAATAAAATTTCTGAATGTGTAGTTGGTTGAAGATAAAATATTGATGGAAAAACTTAACGAAATTACAAAAATATCTTTATAAAAACACCTTGGTTTTATTACAATCTTCGAACGGCAATAAATAATGTGTCTCTGTCTTGGAGACTTCAGGTCTCTCATAATGATAGCTCAGTATGAATCTCCTCATAAGGGAAATAACTTCCATGGATTTTCTTTGAACCTACTGATATGATGGCCTTCTATTAAAAAGTTAGAAGAGACAAAAAAATTCCATCTTGCTATTCCAGGCAGTAGCTTTATGTTTTGGCAAGACACTGTAATGACAACATAACAAGTGTGTACAAGTAGTTGTATTTGTCATCCATTGAAGATGCGAATGAATGGTATATGAGAGCAAAGTAATGAGACTTTCAGCTACTTCTGTAATGCTATTCTTATTATAATGTTGCTAAGTACTTAAAAGGAAATCACTCATTTACCATGACTAATAAGCCTGTGCTAAAAAATTTCTGTATTGTATTTGTCAGCAAAAGGGAAGAGTGACAGCAGGGGATATAAGCTATTAGGTTTTTTCATCCTTAACAGCATGCACGTGAGCATATACTTGTAAGCATCATTGCAAGTTACATGATTTAGGCTAATAGATTAGGATTAAAAAACATAAAAGAAACTCATTTCATAGAGTATTACACGGCAGATTTCTTAACATTCATTAATGCTCAAAACTTTTAAACTTGACTGCTTTTCTATATAACATTAACCAAACAAGAATCAGAAGAATAATTTCATAAAGAAATGATTTATTTATTTTTCAGTTAAATCTGCAACTCAACTTCAAAGTCCACTTTTCTATTGGAAGCAGTAACACTAATCAATGGACAGTAGATTAGCATATGCGCAATATTAAGAGGGGGTGCAAGGTATAAATGCAAATAGGGTGGACACAAATATAAAGGTTGAGAAAAGCAAATCTAGATGATTTCTTCCCTTTTCTTTTTTACGATAGAAAAATGTAAAAACAACAGTTACACATGTTCATAAAAAGTGCAGGAGGCATGTTATACATTAACCTAGGAACATTAATTAGTGGATTGAAATTCAGGATCAAAGTATAGTGGAATCCAAGTCTCCTTCATTCACAGTTCTCATAGCCAAAGTGCTATTTACATGAACCAACTTACTTAACATCCTGCTTAATTGATTTTTCCAATGTATTTCTTGCATGGTTTGATAAAACCTGTATAACTAACCCAGAATCTGGAAAACAGTATGTTCATTACACTCACCAGAGACACACGAGTAGGGCCAGGTGCATTGATAGAAGAAGGAGGGGGTAAAGTTGTCATGCTTTTCATCCTATTTTTCATTTATCCGCTTTTTCACAACAATACCACCTTCACAGCCGGCTTCCTAAACATTGTTTAAATCTGACTTTTACTTGTTTTCATCGATTGCTAGGCAAACTTCATTGACGGGCAACAGAGATGAAATGCCTGAACCAAACGTGGAGAACGATGAATCCCACGTCCACTTCGCCAGGAAAATATTCAGTTCTCCCCAACCAAACACTACCTAAGTGAATTTGCGTGCAATCCTTTGGACCACGAGGTGCTTCAGATGAAAACTTTGTGGGGGATATATCTAGAGCCGGCAAAACGGGCTTGGTTTGGTAGGCCAACCCGCCTGACCCGCTAAACGAGCGGAGTGGGCTGAGTTTTTCAACCCATCTCAAAAACAGGGTTGGGCAGGGCGGCTCATTTTTTGACGGGTTGATGGCGGGCATAGACAGGCCGAGACAAGTCAGTGTAAAATGGGCTCGGACTGGCGGGCCAACCCCGCCAAACAGGACAGATTGAGCTGAGTTTTTCAACCCACTTTCAAAAGCAAGACGGGACGGGCTGACTCGTTTTTTGGCGAATTGATGGCAAGCCACTTTACCACCTCTAGATATACCAGGAGAGTGGAATATTGCTCTGCTGCGTGGATTCTTCCAGGAGGAAGTGGTCCAACATATTCGGTCCTTTAATTTTGGTTTTTGTTTTTGGGCTTAGGTCCCGTTTCTGTATCTATAAAAAAAATAATAAAATTCTATACTGTAATTAACCTTTCATAGTTGTAGAAACTTTATATCAACTTTTCTATCAAACAAAATAGATTATTCGTTATTTGGAATGTCAACTTGTCTCTCGTTTTACTTTTTAACAACTGAATTTTGCTGAGAATGTCTCCAACTTACCATAACATATTTGATTGCCAACATGAGAAGATGCAAAGCAAAAAAATGATTAAACACAAACTTGTTGGTTACTCCTCATGTACTTGTTTTCCAACTATTTCTACCAATTCTTCACAAGAAAGTATATCTTATACATTAATTATAAATAATCTCAGATAAACTAGTTATGTATTTGACTATGTTTTATGCAATTATAAACTAGGGAAAAAAATATTCTTTTTTCTTTTCTTTTTCGTATTTGAAAAAAAAAAAATTCCACTACAAAGTGAAGAAGTAAATGAGAAATTGAAAAATAACTGAATAAATGAAACACAAAAAGCCTCACAAAAATAGCACAGCGGATTGGAGCACAACACATTAAACTCCAATTGCAAAGTTTTTTTTTTTTTTATGTTCCATCACTAATGTAACAGATAAAATCCCAAGAGGCCTATATACAAATAAAGGGTGGCATTTGAAGCCAAAGTAGATAGTAATCAGAGATAAGTTATAATTATTAGCTACATATTTGTAACTTTAAAAATCATAACCATCTCTTATATGAACATCAGCACACATAATTCACGAACACCATTTCTCTGATTTAAAAATTAAAGAATTACCAAAAAAATAAAAAACTGTACACATAAATTGAGGAAACACAGATAGACATAATTTCTGAAGCACTCTTTTTATAGTTTAAAAACCATGCATACTTCCTAGAAATATACATACTTGACACACAAGTAACTTATTCATGAAACACTCATAACTTAAAAATCGTACCTAGCACCTGTAGAAATACAGGTCAACTTATTTATGAAATACTCCATAACTTAAAAAGCATACACAACAATGGTAGAAATACACGCCTCCAATATAAATAGGTGACAACTTTATTCCAAAAACACCCTTAAACCACACACACTTCGTGTAGACATACACAAACTTTATTCATGAACACCATATTCCAGAAGAAAAGAAAAACCCCCAATTTGCCAATAGTTGTTGCAATGTTGTTATCCACTTAACATCTAATTGCATTCTTCGAGCCCCATTGAACCTTAAAAAAAAATTAAATTAAATTAAATACAGTTACATTAGATAGTTACTGAAAGTTAAATAACATTTTTCAACTTTAAGAAGAAAAAAAGGGAAATATTATGAGTCTATTCAAGAAAGGCAGCAATTAGCATCCAAACTATGATCAGTACAAAATTCAAGTTTACACCATATTTTACAAAGCTATGAGAAAGTAAGAGACTATCAAATTTTGGTGTTTATATGATTTCTTTTCTAGCCAGGAAAAATTATGAATTTCTATGCATGTGAATCAAATTTAATCCATTGTCATTTCTAAACTTTCTTTTTATTTCTCAAGATTAACTTGTCATGTTATCTTTTACTATGTTCGGATCAATATTTTCCTGAGATGGAAAAAAGCAAATCCAGGAAAAATAACAAACTCACCATAACATTCCATGTTTTCCGCTCTGTTGCTGCTTGAAAAACAAGACAACTAGTTTACAAGGCTAGCATGAGGGAAGGCAATGACAATAAGCTTCTCTCACCAGACAACAATTTCCTGAAGTAAATTACTACCAAAAGTGAGGTAATCAGATAAGACCAAAATAATTTAGGTACAATACATATTAATTTAACGTTCCGAATTCTTCATGAATAAAAACAAAGGACCATTATTAGATGATGAAAATGATTCTCAAAGTTATAGCTGTTGAAGGAAATTAGCAAGTGATATGTTTGGAAATAGATCCAATAAAATTTTGCTGGTATGTTTAGCTTCCCATTAGTACAACACAGAAATGATGCAAATTAAGCAGATAGAGATCAAGGTAATTAATCAGCATATATATTGAATGTCCATGAGAACTCAATTAGCTACCTGTCACTGTGCTAACTCAGGCTACCTCCTTCCTCAACTGTTGCTTGATCACATCATTTATATCACCTTTCCAAGGGACAAGGTCTATTGTCACCTCCAATTCTTCAGGTACTATGTCAGCATAACGGAAAATTTTCAAGTTGTGGCAATCTAAGAAATACAATTCTTTCAAACATGGTAAATTCAAAGTGGAACTCCCCGAGTAAAAGCTTTCAAGTTTCGGCAACCAGGACAAAAACAAAATCTCAGGCCACTGGAATATGTTCTCCTCTTCTTCTGATTCATCTCCCTCTTTGGCCACTATTTCTTTTATTGACTTACAGGCACTTACACGTATCTCCTTCAAATTAGACAATCTTTTGGCAGTAGAGGATGTGAACAAGTATTTCATACTGCGGCATTCGAAGAACCACATTTCTTTCAAACATGAAAAATTTAAAGTGGAACTCCCCATGTCAAAGCTTCCAAGTCTTGGCAATGATTCTAAACTCAAAATCTCAAGCTTCTGAAATATTATCTCATATTCATCTGGTTTATCTCCCTCTTTTGCCACTATTTCTTCCAAGGACTCACAGCCACGAACAAGTATCTGCTCCAGATTAGGAAATCTTTTGATAGTTTTGTCAGTTGAGGAAGTGAACAAGTATTTCATGCCATGGCAATCGATGAATGATACTTCTTTCAAGCATGGGAAATTCAAAGTGGATCTCCCCAAGTCAAAGCTTCCAAGTCTTGGCAATGATTTAAAAGTCAAAATCTCAAGCTTCTCAAATATTATCTCATATTCACCTGGTTTATCTACCTCTTTTGCCACTATTTCTTCCAAGGACTCACAGCGGCGTACAGATATCTCCTCCAGATTAGGAAATCTTTTGACGGTTTTGGCAGTTGAGGATGTGAACAAGTATTTCATGCTGTGGCATTTGGTGAACCACATTATTTTCAAACATGGAAAATTTAAAGTGGAACTCCCCATGTCAAAGCTTCCAAGACTTGGCAATGATTCTAAAGTCAAAATCTTAAGCTTCTCACACATTATCTCATCTTTACCAGATTCATCTCCCTCTTTAGCCACTATTTCTTTCATTGACTTACAGTCACCTACCTCCATCCAGTTTAGATTAGGCAATATTTTGGCAGTTGTAGATTTGGACAAGTACTTGAATATTGCCTTAACATAATTACATTCCCTCACTTCCAAGTATTCCAAGTTACTTAGGAAAGGAAGTAAATGAGAAGGAAGTATGACATCTGTTAAAAATTCACACCCAACCACGACTAAAGAAGTTAAGTTGTTGAAACACCAGTTTGGGACAGTCTCTGTCTGAAGCCATACCTCTTCAAAAATTAGCTTCCGCATTTATTTAATTAAACAAGTTGCGATTAATACCAATTTAATGATGTTAATACATCGGTTGCAGACGAGGTGTTACACCTTCTATGAGTTAGATCTTGTAGATTGATCTAGAGTGCATGCATGACAATAGAGATGTTGGTACATGAATCGTGTGTGGTAAATTCATCATTAATTTTTATGATTTACGGGATAAACACAAGAATAATGTAATCTTTATGATTATTGGATTTAATGCCTATTTTCTTTGAAGAACAACCGGGGAATTAGGATTCTTTAAAGAAAGTAAATAATTAGGATGTCAAGGGATCGATTATTAATTAACTTAAGGGAATCGATGGCGATATGAAAAAGGATGTTCAATCAAGGGTTTAAATCCATAACATAAAGGAGAGATTGAGGGAAACCGAATCTCTATCTGCTTTTCTTGATTGACAAGTTACTCGCTCATCATCTTTTCCATTTATTTTTTTATTTAATTTGATTCAACTCTCTTGAACAATTATCCAACTTAAGCGTAAATAGCGAATTAGTGATTGAAATCTAATCCTCGTGTGAACGATACTCTTACTCATTACACTTTATTACTTTAACAACCGGTACACTTACTTTGATCGCGACAACAACACTTATATAAAAAGAATGTTCATTTTATAATACAAAATTCAAGGTTGGAATAATATGATTGATCACTTGATTGTATATGCAAAAAAAAAGGCTCTGCATTATTCAAGATGTAGATAAAAGAAAATATGATGTCTATATATCTTGTGGTAGTCGTTCTGCCAAATAGATGTAGAATTGCCCCATAGCTCCGATGGTAAAATCACTTTTGTATCTTGATTCTAAGGTCAAAGTTTCACCATCATTAATCTTGACAGTACCTGGTTGTGGATAACAAACAGACATTCCAACAGCGTAACCTTCCTCGTTTCCCGCTTCCTTTCCCGTTCCATATTTTGGTGTTGAAGTACACAAAATCCTTCCATCCTAAATTAATCAAAAAAACATAAATTTTAGAAGTGAAGACACAATACAATATATGTCTTCCTACAATTGTATGGATTATTAAGCAAATTTATGACTTTAATACAAATGAAGCACACAAATTTAAAAATAAAAAATAAAAAATCTATAATCATGAGAATGATGGCGAATATTGAACTTCACCTGTCCATATAAAGTTGCGTTAACAACACCGGTATGCATATGAGCAGTGCCGTAGATGAGATAACCGCCTTTTTCCATTGGGATATTTGCTTTTTGGACATGAGGGGAGTTGTTATTCCCATTTTTCGGAATATCATATTCAACCTGTAACAAATTGACAAAAATTTGATACTCACACAATTCCAACAAATTAATAGATTTTGGAATTCAATTGACATTGAAATTGAAAAGTGTGGTTAAAATTTAAATGTATATTCATAAGTTATTTACCTTGCACTCATGGATTGTTTTGGAGCCATTCGACCTGACCTTATCAGTGGAATCAAGTATATAAACCTTAACAGGGACTTGAATTTTGTCCCAATCAACCCACCTTATTTTGTATCTCAGGGCAAGACTTCTAGTTGAGGCTTGAAATCCCTCTCTCAATTTGCACTGTAACTTGTCATCGCAACAAAAGATTCCTCCCTTATAATCAGGGTTCAATGGTTTGCCATCAACACCCTTTTTGGCACTAAGAAAATCTTTTGTGATATTCATAAGGTCACATCTGCATTCGGAACAACCTTTCCTATCTTGTACGCCACGTGTGTCAATGGCCATGATATTGAAGAACCATTTCTCTTCAAACCCATTAGGAATTTCTGCAGAATTACCTACTTCTACTGCAAAAGGATCTGGAATGTTTGAGGTTGTTCCTCGTGATTCACCTCCCAAGCCCCAATAATGTGGAAGAATACCACCTTGGCATGTTCCCTGGTTTCTCACAAAAATGGCTCTTTCCTTAAGACTTTTAGTTGATTTTGGGTCGTCAAAGTATTTTAAAGCAAACCAATGATGGAGGTAAGTTTCATACAAAGGCACAGGATTCCCTTTTTCATCAATTAGTTCAGCATCAAAACTCTTAATACCAACATGACCTCTTGGGAAATCAATATCTACCATTTGTGTCTCCACAACTGATCCTGGTCCCATTTTAAACTTTTTAGACACAAAAGTTGCTGACTTGATGTGTCTTTTGGGATCCTCATAATACGACTCAATATGACCTATTTTAGATTCATTAATTAACAAATTATTTTTCTTCAAAGATGTCCTAAGAAGAGTTTCGGGATCCAATACAAAGGACGAGTATGTTGTGCTCGATAGAAACACTAGTATTGATGAGGAAAGCATCATTGCTTTAAACATAAACCTCATGCTCACCTGTACATACATATATAAATCATTAAAAACTATCACTTATTTTATTTACGAATAAAGCTTGTATTCTAATGTTATTATTTCATGTAACTTTATAATAAACAATTCAAGATTCAAACATAAATATGTTCAAAAATTGGATGACGAGAATTGCATACCACACGAGAATAGGAGGAGGGAATGACCATGGTAGAGATTTGGTCTTTTCGAGATTCCAAGCAACTTTTGAAATTTGGAAATGGCGGTTGGAGATAATTTTGTGTACTCATGGAAGTCTTGTCCGCTAGTTTTATAGTAGAACTCGGCAATAGCATATCTGGCGTAACTTAATGCCAATTCCACACAAAGTTGTTTTTACCGGTTAGTGGTTTGGACAAAATTTGATGACCAAGCTGGGTATGCGACAATGCAAGCCATTAAACAACTCTCTATAGTTATTTATAGGAACAACAACTTGGTCTTGATGGCAGTTGATATTTTATCTCAACAATAATAGTCTATCTAGCAATTTCCTTTTAATGCGAAAATTTGTTAGAGATTTTTTGTTTTCCTTTTCCTTTTTCGTTTTTAATTTCTGTTAGAGGTTATCACAGAAGATACGGAAATCATGCATATGTATGAAAACAAATGTTATGCCATATATTATATATTTTTCGATGGCAAAGCTGCTTTAATTAAGGTACGTAATTAATTATCTTACAGCACCACGTGGTGTCACTTTTTTTCAACAAAAATAAGATTTAAAGGTTTTCAGACTATCAAATGCTTTACCAGATCAATAAATGAGATTTTTATTGTCACAATAACGATTAAAGATGACAAAAAATAATATATTATTGGCACATAATTTTATCTTTTGTTTTTAAATGAGGCTCTTCGAAAATTGTTTTTTTGCAACATTTTATGTGCATTGTTGAATCAAGTGATCATTAAGCATATCAAACAACATATATTACAAAACTATTTCGGTTTGCATGGACGGTCAAACAAGAAACAAAACAAAAAGTTTTCCTCTGACTTATCTATTGATCTTATGGCGATTAAACAATGATGAATTTTTTTTAAGGGCAGTAATGATTGATTAATGGTGAACTAATGATATAATAATGGGGATCTAATTAATGTTAACGTTGCAGGTGATAAATTAGCTCTTATAATTTGTTGATATTTTATGTGCTGGTTAACAAGGATGTTTTCTCTAAGAGTTGCAAGAAGAAGAAGAAGTTCGATTCCCGCTGAATGCATTCTTGGGGAGGGGGCTGAACCTTTAGCCATTACTGACCCCCGCACTCCGGATTATTCCCATAGCCGGCTCAAAGAGTCGAAGCTTGTGGGGATACCGGAGGGAGCCAACTCGTCTCAAAGAGGTAATTAGGGTTGGGTAACTCCAAAAAAAAAAGTTGCAACAAGATTTTAATTATGAGTATACAAAATAAAGTCTATGGGTATTCCGAATATAAAATTTAAATAGTTAAGGATATGTCCGATATGTATTTCATAGAAAATAAAATTGAAATCAAAATTCAGATAAGGGGATTTTTTTTATGTGGACACTCATTTAGTAGCAAAATGACACATTCATTTCTTGGTGACAAAATAGTGTATTTTTTCAAAATCAAACTTTTTATTCATAAAAATAATTAATTTGAAATTAATTCTAACAAAAGATTTTTCACTCAACCTGATCCCTAATCCTTAACCTAGATGTTCTGAGCTTGACCTTGAAATCCTCAATTGATTTTGGTTCTGAGCTTTGACGAAATCGTAAGTAGCATTTGCTATTGAATTGAATTCAATTGTTTTTTATTTTTGTTGTTACAAATTCAATGACAACCATTTGGAAGGTTGAATGACATACTTGCTCCATCAAATAAATTTCCCATCGGCTTCACTTTGGAGCTAGTATAGAATAGTTGTCATTTCCTTTGAAAAAATATCTTACAACTGTCCTGATATAAGCCCAAAGCAGGAGTACATAATTTGATGAAGAGAATCCTTCATGTTTGAGCTGGGTCTCTCCGCCAATAGTTCATATTGTACAAAGATGTGGTCAAAACAAATCTGACAGTGGAAAAGGTGCTTCAATTGGAATCACAGAGAAAGTGTGTCTTTCATCATCCTGAAGGTGTAGCGTTTTCCAAGTTTGCTTCTATTAATTCTTTAAACTTTGTGATTTTTTGAAATAAAAACATCACAAAATTGTACCCAAAAAAAGCACAAAAGTTCAAAGAATTAATAGAAGCAAATTTGAAAAACACTACACCTTGAGGGTAAAACACTACACCTTGAAACCTATTCCGTCAGTCAGATTTGTTTCGACCATGTTTCTGTTGTACAATTAATATCAACTGATGGCGGAGAGACCCAGCTCAAACATGAAGGATTCTCTTCATCAACACCATATTGCTTTGGGCTCATATCATGACAGTTGTAAGCTATTTTTTCGAAGGAAATGATAACTATCCTACTAGCTCCAAAGTGAAGCTGATCAGAAATTGATGGAGCAAGTATGTCATGCAACCTTCCAAAGGGTTGCCGTTGAATTTGTAACAACAAAAATAAAAGACAGTTCAATTAAATGGAAAATATTTTCATTTGATAAATTAAGATTTTTAGGAACTTACTGTTGCTACTCACGGCAAGTGCACCGATCGTACAAGTAATATAATGATTGAATAAGAGATCGTTCCCACGAAGATTATACTCAAGCACTAATTCACTATCGCAAA